TGTATTTGCTGTGTGCCCCATAGGTTCACAGTATTTCATATTCAGCCTTAAGCCTTGATCTACAGAAAGTAAAGTTTTATCTCTGTGTTGGCAGAGAGAGATCTGGAAATGTGATCTTAATGCACCCTATAGGCACAGAAAGCACTGATGTAAACAGGATTTATTATTTCCAGCCAAACTCACAAATCTGGAATCCAATTTGTGCTTCCTGCTTCTTAGCTTGCCAGCACTGTTATACTATATTCCTAAACCAGAAAGTTTTTACTGAGAAATTTAAACTTTGAATTCCAATACCTTGAAAAACACACTGGTTTTATTTTTTCCTTACTTACAGACTCTTGCTACCCAATGAAAAGTAATTTTGCTTATTTATTATCAATACATTAAAGATTCAGAGCATGGGATTTCACACCAGTACTGATCCCTTATCTTGTTCTTAATGCATAATATTGTTCTCTTTTTCATTGCCACACAAGAGAATCCCAAAGTCCATCAGCCAGTAGGCCAACAATGGCAGCTCAACAACTGTATTTGAAACAGCCATAGGTACGAACGACAGAAAGAGCAGGATTAAGACAAGTTAGATATTTGAATCATAGTAATATGACTTAGCCAAAAGATCCCTGTGAGACAAATAATCCCTTCTATTTCGGCATAAGCCCTCAAGTGAGAACAGAGGAAACACTCTGCTTTTCTGTCCAAAATGTCCTTCCACTGCACTATAAAAAACTGAATAGTCAAAAGAAAAGCAACAAAATTTATACCTAAGTTTCTCAGCAGACAGACTGACATTTCCTCAGCATTAATGCAGGCATCTTTATCCCTGTGGTAAGAAGAAACAATATTTTTTCAGTCACTAATTGCTACAAAAACTAGAGTCTACAGAGCCTATGCCACCAAGGCACCAGGACAATGAATACCACCAACTTTACACATTGAGATTTAACCCCACAACCGGAAGAGATAAATGAGCTCCTCTTTGGCTCCAGTAACAACTCCTAAGATATCAGTCACACAGCTAACAAAATGAGTGTTTGCATGTAATTTTGTTCTATTTTTCATACAAAATGCTGCAATAAACAACAGAGTAAACTACATTTACAAATTTAGATTATATGAGCCCATTCCACAGGTCAGCCCCTGTAAGAGAACAGCATCACCAAAAACATTTGAATCAGATGCATCAGCTGCAAATAAAATTATGACCAAGAGAGGGAGCTCCAAGCCTAGAAATAAAAATCCATTTCTCAGTTTCAGAGATCAAAACAGTAACTTAAGGGAATGAGGCATTCTGCTATCAGAGGGGAGCCCTCAAAATGGCACAGCTGCTCCTGACAAGCAAACACACACTCAATTGCACTGCTGGGGTCTGAGACTGAAGTTGGTTTTAATGGAAAATAAATAATGCATGCAAGCAAATCCCCAGAGATACAAATTTTCAGAGAATAAATTATACCTGTAAAGCATCTAGAAAAGTAAGAAATTCTGGGACAACGGGATTCCATTTATTATTTTAATATCTAATATTCTTATCTGACAGATTGGCTCTAAATTTACTGTTAACTTAGTACATATCAACTCACTGTAATTTGCTTCAGTGGTTTGCAGTACATCAGTAGGCTTAAAACAGACTAACTCCTGTTTGCATGTGTCCTCTCCTAGAGCCATTCTAGAAAAACCTTAATTTATGTGACTTTAAATTTGGGGGCACAACGTGTATAGCATTTCTAGGAGCCCAAGTAAAGGATTCTGGCACAAAATCCTTCTTCAGAAAGAAAATTCTCCCTTTGGAACAGTTTCAAAAAGAATTACAGTTATCACAAGTATTTCAGAAGTGATGCCTCTGGTTTCATCCTTATCACAGGTGCACAGAATATCCAGAGCTGGAAGGGATGCACAAGTCCAACTCCTGGGTCTGCGCAGGACCACCTGAAATTCAAACCCTGTGTCTTTTATAACCAAACTGTTTGCAGTAACAATCAAATATTGCAATATCAAATCAAACTTCCTATAGGACTAAATTAGCAGTAGCAAAAAGCTGCAATGACATGATTTTTTCATTTTCTTAGAGAAATTACAGGTGTTGGGAGACTTTTCAAAGTGATTAGAAAACAGCTTTATTTAGGAAATAACCATAACCAGATTCTGCATCAACCCACATGCTGACTGCGGAACGTTAAGTCAGTGACAAAGATAAGAAGTCATTCAGCAGACCAATAAATGGCTAATTTTTCAAAGCCTTTGTAATTTCAAGACAGCCTTAATCTGCACTTTCTGCTCTCCACCGTTGGTGAATTCAGAGGGGAAAAAAACCAAACCCCTTCTGCGAGAGTTTCCAGTTAAAAAAAAAAACAACAAACATTCCAATAAGTAAAAGCCACACACATCATAGATGAAGCTCTGAGGGCTCTCCCGAGCCTGTCAGCCCTCCACTGCCCCAGCCACGGCACAACTTCTCACCAGGAGCTCCTCAGGAAGCAGCTTGCAGCACAACCTCTAATGACAACAGCCACAACACAGGCTCCTTCTGGTTCTAACCTAACATCAACACTGTGCAGAGACCATCCTTGGGCCTTACAAGCGACTCAGGAGCTTAAAGAACCCACCCTACCCACACAGTCACAATCTCGCTCTCCACGACAGCACTAATCCTCCCTCAGCTGAGATCTCCTCACGCTGCAGCTGTCCCACTCTGCTTCCCACACAGGAGGCAGCAGTTAGCCACCAGGTATTAAACTTCAGCCTTCGTCCTTCAAGCATCTGTGGATGCTTAATTTTCAAAGAATCGCACAATACCCTGAGCTGGAAAGGACCCATAAGAATTACCAATTCCAACTCCTGGATCCATACAGCACCACTCAAAAATCAGACAACATGTCTGAGAGTGTTGTTCCTTGAACTCCGGCAGCTCAGGGCCATAATCACCGCCCTGGGCAGCCTGTTCCATGCCCACCACCTTCTGCTGTAGAACCTCTTCCTAACACCCAACCTGACCCTCCCCTGACGTAGCCTCATGCCATTCCCTTGGATCTTACATACTGATTTCATGCAAGCATGAAAGAAAAATGGCACCTTTTAAGAGTGTGCAGTGCAAAGCAGATGCCTTGCAGTAGGCATATTGGTAGGGGACAAGATATTCCATACCTCATCTTCACAGCAACTTCCTCTGCTTGGATGACCGCACCAGTCACGGGCTGCACGGTGACGGCATCACCCACACTGACTCTCAGGCTCTTCTGTGTGGTGTCACTCAGCCCAATCTTCCCACCTGGGAAGCCTGGAGTGGGCCAGGCAGTGCAGACCTCGAAGAATCATAGAATCATAGGTTGGAAAAGACGACTAAGATTATCTAGTGCAACCATCCACCTACCACCAATACTGCCCACTAAACCGTGTCCCTCAGTGTCACATCTACACGTTTCTTGAACACCTCCAGGAACAATGATTCCATCACTTCCCTTGCCTGTGCAAGTACATCACCAATCTTCCAGATGTTTATCCTAATGTCCAACCCAAAACTCCCCTGGTGCAACCTGAAGCCATCACCTCTCATCCCATCACTGTTAACTGAGAGAAGAGGTTGATGCCAACTAACACCTTGCCACAACCTCCTGTCAGGCAATTGTACAGGGCCCATAAAGTCTCCTCAGAGCCTCCTCTTCTCCAGACTGAACAACCGCGGCTCCCTCAGCCTTATGCGAGTGAAGTGCTCTAGACCCTTCCCAGCTCTGCTGCCCTTCTCTAGACACATTGTAGGGCATGGATGCCTTTCTTGTAGTTAAGTGCCCAAAAGTGAACACAGTAACTGAGATATGGCCTCATCAGTGACAAGTACGGGGAGACAACCATCTCCCTGGTCCTGCTGGCAACACTACTTCTGGTAGAAGCCAGGATGCCATTCAAAGCAGATTCAAAGCAAACAGCTGTCAGCGGCCCCACATTCAGTTCTCCAAAGTAAGCAATATTAATAAAAACACGGGCTGAGGAAGAAGGAGGATTAGACTGCAACCCGGTTCCACAGAGGGCTAAGGTACGAGTAGCACCAGCGGACGGAAACGCGAGGGCTGCCCAAAGGAGGAGCAGAGTATGGAGGGGCCTCACCCACCTCCTGCTTTCCTCCCGCCGCCGTGAGCAGCACCGGACGACCGATGCAGATGTTGGCGGCCTTCATGCTGTTCAGAGACAGCTGCGCCAGGGCTCTCCGGAACATCTTGGGGATTTTGTCATCTTCTGAAAGGTTCGGGAAAAGCACATCACCGCTCTGCACACGGGACACGTGCCGCACACCCCGCGCTCCCACACGAGCACGCCCGCAGGCCGCGCCTCAGCAGCACGGGCCGCGCACGGACAGAGCGCGTTCCCGTGGCACCGAAGGCCGGGTGAGCAGCCGGGCCCGCGTGCCGTTTACCAAGCAGACCTCACGTCTGCCGCAGCGAAAGGCCGTCGGTGCCGACGCCGCTTCGGGGCGGCAGATCCCGGCTTCAAGGCCGTTCCCACCGTCCGGGCCGCATACCTGCCTGCACCGCCTCGGCGACGTGCAGCAGCGGCGGCCCGCCCTCGGCCCCGCCGGCCAGCGGGGAGCTCCCGCCCGGGGCCGGCCGTCCCCTGCTTCTTCGCCGGGCGGCATGGCCGCCCGGCGGCCGCCGCGCAGTGCTTCCGGAGGCGGAGGCCGGCACCGCCCCCGGGGCGGCCGCTTCCCGCCGCTCCATGGCGGGGCCGGCGCTGTGGCGGGCGCTGCGCGGGGCGCGGGGCCGGGGGCCGGCGGCGGGGGGGGGTCGGGGCAGGCCGCAGCCTCGGCTGGACAAGTATGGCGGGGTGAGCGTGGAGCTGGCCGAGCTGCGCTGGCCTCGCCGCCGGGAGCGGGCCGCCTTCGGGCGCTGGCTGCGGGGCAAGTGGCGGACACGGGGTCGGCGCGGGCGGGGGAGGTGGGTGCGCGCGGCCGGGCGAGAGCGGCGCCGCGCTGCCGGTAATCTAATGCCGCTTACAGCGTAACGCTGCTGATGCCGCTCTGCCTCCCCCTGGCACGTATTTATTAGGCCCGGAGCGTCGGGCCTGAGCGTGGACGTCCCTGCAGAAACCCTACCTTGCGCGCCACTGGAAGCCGGCCGGCTGGTAGTCTGTCCTAAACTTCTCGTCTCCAGGCCTGCGGCCTGACCGGTGGCCCCGCGTTTCTCTTCCAGCCTCGGTCGCCCAGTGGCAGCAGGAAGGCCGGGTCGCCGTCTGGCTCCACGTTCCCATCCTCCAGAGCGGGCTGGCGGCCGTGGCCGCGTCGCAGGGCTTTGACTTCCATCACGCGGAGTCGGGCTCGGCCACCCTGACGCGGTGGCTGGGCGAGGGGCCCAGCAGGCTGCCCGCCTTTGCCAGCCACCAGCTGGGAGTCGCAGGTGAGTGGCACGGAGCTGCCGCGGGAAGGCTGGCAGCAAGTGTGGGAATAGCGATAGGAACGTAGGATTGCTCCACCGATCTGCCCTGAGTGCATTTGTGCGTTTCTCAATCTTCTGATTTCTGCAGCCATTCCAATTGAGGAAAAAGTCTGTGCACGGGGCAGACGGAAGTGGCAGTGATTGCTAAGGAGCTAGCGCAGCTGTTGGCTACAAGTGTCACAGTCCAGAAGCTGCTCTGACATATCTGTGTAACAGGGCTATGTCCCAAGCACCTGGACAATACCCAGGCCCATCTAGACCTCCCCCCAACCACTGCTGGAAAGGTTGCTCTAAAAAGGAAGGAAACTCAGGACCAAGAAGACAGTGTCCCATTTCTTACACATCACAGTGCAAGGAAGTAATGGTGAGCCAAAACCACAGTCAGCTTGAACTCAGCCTCATCAAATGTGCATGCTTCTGCCTTCCTTCTCAGCATCATCCACAGACACAACTGTCAGACACATCACTCAGCAATTTCTTGTAGGCTGGTGATGATGGCTCAGGCCGTGCCAGCCCGGTACAGGTTGTGGCATATGGCAAGTATGGCAGAGCACATCTCCCCCTGAATGTCCTCACTTTCTCGGTCTTGGCCGCGAGGGGCCGAGTGACCCTTCTTGCTGTGACAGGAGCTGGGCTGTTGGCAGCAGGCCAGGTTGAAAGCGAGCATTCAAAAAGCAATGGCTTCAATTACCAAGTGGTGCTGTAGTCAGTGTGAGCTTGCGGCTACAAAGCCAGCAGAGGGCAGCGTGGAAGCTGAAGGCAGGCTGGGTTTTTCAATGGGCATGTTAGAGCATGTTTTCCTGGTGGACGAAAATCTCACCATTAAAATATGTGGCATTAAACTCGAGTTAAGATAATGCATTAAAAAAAAAAAAAAAAAAAAAAAAAAAAACCGTATTAGCACTTTTATTTCTCGCATTTTTGAGGAAATATGACTAACTGAAAGGGGATTTTTCTGCAGTAGGTTGTGCATAGCTGAAAGTGCTGCCTAAAAGAAACCATGCAGTGGGAGTGTTGTGGCCCGGGTGGGTTGTCAGGAAAGGCTCTCTGTAAGAAAAATCAATTTGGAAAAATTATAGCAGGAAAACCTGCACTTTCAAAATATCATTTGCTGATTTGCTATTGTGTTTTTTATCGCTTCAGTTACATTCTGTGAAAATAGAAAATGAAATATCTGAGAAAAGAAGCAGTTTAATAAATGGGAAGATAGGGATTTCATAGTTTTTGCACATATATAAATACTACACAATAGATAACGTATATAGCGTGCTACTGCTTTTCAAATCTGTCTATTCTTATCCATGGCTGAAAATTCTTTTAACGGGTGAAGACCTCAGAAAGGCATTTGGTGAACTAAGCTGACATTTCTGCATATGAAAGCAATTATTGCAATAATATTTTTATGTTTTATGCACCATCAGTGGATGTGGAATACACTGCAGGAACGCACCAAGCAGTGTGGACATCACCTGGCATGTGTTTAACCTGTCATCTTTCTACCCCATCAAACAGATCCTGGGTAGCAGAAGCATTTTGTTCTATTTTTAACTCATTTTATTCTAATACCAAAATATTTAAATATGGTCACACTTAACATCAGCAGTGTGCATGTGCCAAACTCCAGGTGTTCTTATTTCTTGTGCAAAAAAAACTCTGTGTTTTAGAATAATCACTTAGGGATTAATGGGCATGGTGGTGATGGGCTGATGGTTGACTAGATGATCTTAGCAGTCTTTTCCAACCTTCATGACACTATGATAGCTTCTGCAGTAAGGAGAAACAAACTTGCTGAGAGTCCTCATCTCAGCACTATGGCCAGCCAGCTAAAGACAAGGCTTTGTCCCTTGAGCATTCTGGAGATCAACAGCAGAGCCTGCACTGCCAAGCAGACCAGCAGCTGTTGTTGTACTGTCTGTGGCTTCCCACGCGGTGAACACGGCACATCCAGGGCTGCTGCCTTACCCTCAGCCAGCCAAGAGATGACAAAGGTGTGAATAAGCAAGGTCAGGCCATATTGGCTAGACTAGATCAGAATCGCCAAGAAGAGAAAGTAGCAAATGTTACTCATAGGGTTTGGCCATTATTGTTTAGAAATAGTGGAATATGTGATGCATCTCTGGCTAACTTACTGCATCCGTTCGTAGGCGGCAGGATTTTCCAAATATGTAAAGGGACAGGAAAGCTTCTGGTGAATGAAATGATCAAGGCGTTTTTGAAAAGCACTTGGGAAGTTCTCTGCCATCCAGAAAGTGACATATTTGTAAATATGCCCCATAGCAATGGCATAAGAGAAGTTGAGAAGGAAGAGTAAAGTGAAAGAAGCTTTTACTTAAGGAACTGTATGGAGCGAGCCGCTGCACGAAGGTCAGCCTGCTGGGAGGATGCCTTATGTAGTCATGGCTGTCCATGCAATCACAAGTGATTTAAAAGAAGGCACCAGGCTGTTTTACAAATCAATACCTGCTGCTGCTTGGTCGTGTTTATAAAGCAAGCCCTCAGGGGTGCTTGCCAGACAACCGGTCTGCTGTTATGAACATCTTGTCACATGCTTACATCAACTGTAAATAAAACTGCCAGAGGGAAGGTATTTTTCCCCTCCATTACTTATTATGAAGTTGTCTCAGGGCTTTTAAACATAAGATTCTTACCTACCAACAAAAAGCAGTCAAAAGAAATCAGCGTTATACCGGTGACTGCTTGGTTAGTCTCAAGCGTCAGCCTTTCTGGAAAGGCATCCTAGGGCTGGATGATTTCAAGAGTGGAAGTTCTCAAAACCAAAATCTGAGCCAATGGGCAGAGCCTGGCCTCACTGATGCTGAGCAGGTGTGGCCCAGTGAGCTGCACAGGGACTCTCAATTTTGGTTGGCAAAACAAGACCAGAGAGCGAAGCCTATCAGTGCTTACTTCTCGCTTTGCATTTAATTGTCATCTCTTAGAGATTCTGGATATCTCAGAGAATTTTATGGCCAGAAACTACATTCACAGGCATCAGATTTTGGGGAAAAAAATGAGTTCTTCCTGTCTGGTTCATACTGCAGCATCCTGTCTTCAGCAGTCCACCTGTGTCTCACCAAACCATCAGGCTAAAAAAGGCTTTTCTAGAAAATAATCCCTGCAATCACAGCATGCATCAAAAACTCCCACTTCCCTTTTTTCCCCTCTTTTGATCAGTACAGTACTTGAACCTGGGCATTGCTAAATATTTACAAGAGAAATGAGATCATTGTCACAAATAATGGGAAGCAGATTCGTGACTACCCTCTTAAAGCACATCCTTTGACATATCTTGAAGGAGAACTAGTATTTCATTTTTTAAGTATTCCTCCTACACATAATTCTACCATGTATTTTTTTTTTTTTTTTTTAAAGAAAGATGTTTTGTGCTGGACACTCATATCTTAATGATTCCTTTCTGTGGAAATATTTCTCCATAGCATTTTAAATGTGCATATCATCACAGAGCTATCCATATATTCTTCCTCTTGCTGTACAGTGCCAGAAGCACTTTTTACCCACTAATTTTAAACCCACGTATGACTGATGTGGAAAAGGACCTGGTAAGCTGCACCGCTGTACTTATTCTGCTCACCACAGCGCACGGCTTTAAAATCAGAATGCCTGTTTTAAAGGGAAAACATTTTTACACTATGACTAATGAGAGTGACATGATGCTTAGACATGCAAGCACTTGGGTTTTAAACAGTAGGAAAACTCACTCTGTGGGAGAAATTCCTGGGCTCAGCATGAGGATGCACGGAAAAGCTGAATTTCTCATTCATACATTCTAATAGATGTAGTTCTCTAAGTGAAAGCATCATTTTTCCACTTGGGAGCAATGGTCTTTGATTAACAAGTTAATCAGAGACTGTGCACTGTCATCGGTTGTTTTACGGGCAGTGGAGTATGAGTCTGTTCAGTTGCTGGAATTTTTTCCTCAGCAGTACACGTCAGCCCCCCAAGTATTAAGATTTGAGTGTTATCAGCCAGAAAACACACTTACTGCTTCATTGTAAGCAGTTTTGTCATGAATTTCACTGGAGAAAAGTTCTTGCCCATCCTGGCTATTTGGCCAAAATAAGGAAAAAAAATCTCTTATTTCAGTAAGATTACACATTCCTGCTGAAGAAAGCAGCACTGCTGGGTTATCTGTAGACATTCTGCTCTTGCATTCTTTAGGTCTGCTAACGATCATTAGGGGTTTGTCACACTTCATCAAAACACGTTAAATTGTTCAACATCTTTTTCAATATTGTCTCTCTAATAGGTGCTGTATTGGATGAAAACAATGGAAAGGTGCTGGTTGTACAAGACAGAAATAAGGTAAGTTTGCTACAGGGCTGTAAAATGGAGAAGTTCATTTAGGTTTATATGGTTTGTCCTTTCATCAAATTCATTTAGGCGAATGATGCCAGCTAAGGTCCACAAGCATGAAGACAGGCATGTGCATGCATGCTCATTTGTATTGCATTTGTGTTTATCTTACTTGACGATTTTTAACATTCATTAGTAGTGCATTAGATTAAAAAGCATGATAGGTAGAAAAACGACAAGTAATGTAGTTGGTTACTACTAAAAAGCAACAGTATAAGTATTCCAGGTGCTAGCATATCTGTACAAAAGAATACCTACTTCTTCCTTGATGAGCATTCAGTTTGCAGTTCCCAGTACTGTGAAGATGTACCACATCACTGGCTTTGTCCTTCCTCTGCCACACCACATGGGTTAGAAGAGTCCAAGAAACCCACTCTGTTTCTTGGCTTCATCACCCCCTACCCCTTCTGCTTCGTGTTTTATGTTTCTCCTATAACTGATCCAGGAGTACCTGAGCTTATGTTTGGATCCATGCAGATCTCTAGAAAGCACTCACAGCTTAAAGCAGATTTTGGGAGACTGTGATTTTGCTTGGTTTCTGAAATTCCAGGCATATTTGTGGGATTAAATAAGCAATGCCATGGTTGGCCATGACCTGTAAACCACCTGTGTAAAGCAGGTGTAAAGATTGTGAATTTCTCACAAACCAAAGTGCTTGACCTCACTACAAAGGATGCCAAACCAGAGAGTGTTAGTGTGGTGGGGGTGGGTTATGTGATGTGGCTTGAGGTAACCGAGCATCCATCACTGCAAATTTCTTCTAGCAACTATCAAGCTAACCTAGGTTTTAACACAGAAGTGCATAAAGCTCACTAGCTCATTTGCAGCTGTCTCTGCTAGTCTGTTTAAAATACATTTAGTTTACACTGTGCTTTGAACAGACAAAGGATCTTTCACAAATGAAGTAAGCATCTCTAGGACAGCAAGGTTATTTGCAGTTTTAACATGGAAAAAAAAAGTCAAAATCTCTACATGCTAACTGAAGTTCACAGGGTTGCATCATCTTTATAGTTCAATCTAAGCCAAAATCTCACTGGCTATATTGTTATGCTTTTCCTGAAATAACTACTAAAGAATTCTTCTTGGAAACCAAGTTAACCATCACTTCATGGTAACACAACAGTTAATGAAAATGTGTTTTCACTGGCAGATTCATTCACTGAACTTGCAATGCAAATTGGGAGGAAGAAAAGCATCCTTTTCTTGTTCCATATAGATTGCTGACTGTATATTTGTACTTACTGTACAGTAAAATTTCAAGGACTTCTCTACAACGAGATCTTCAGGCTTTCATTCAATAATTACCAATTAAAGCATAAACACAGTATGCAAGGCATAGGCTCCAGAAATGGTTCTAAACCCAGAAAGCCTCTAAGAAAAGAACAGTATGTAATACAAATACTCCATTTGTTTTTCCTTAACATTTCTGTGCATGTAACAGTGAGAAATTGCACGCTGACCTTTCAATAAGTACCTTAAATAAAAGAGATCTCAAAGAGTAAAAATGGAAGCTACATATTCTGCAACCTCAAAGGAAGCAGTAGCTTCCTAAGCCCATGGGACAACAGATTTTTAAGATTTAACTTGCTAACACTGAGTTATTGCTAAAGCTCAACCACAGCCATTTTAAGTGCAAATATCTCAGTCCAGTTTTACAGTGAGACATCAGATATTCTGTTGAGGTTCGACATCCAATTCTATACTCACCAGAATTTGCTTCCTTACCCTCTGGTCCCTGAATGTAACAGGACCAAGTACAGCACCACACTCTTCTCTGGCTCCATCTGAAAGGTGGGATGACATTCCAGGTCAGCTGTTTCTGCTTACCTTTGTAGAACAAAGCTGTTATTACAGTGGGTGAGCTGAAAGGAGAAAAGTGATTGTTTCTGTCTCTTCTCCTTACAGCTCATTTTTATTTTTTTATTTAAATTAAGTATAAAAACTGAGGTGTGTGAATACCCATACAGTTCTTGTGCAGCAAGCAGTTACCTCAGTGCAAGCAAATTGGCTCAGACAGTTATTTGCCAATGCCAGTCCCACCACTCTTCTCTCCTCCTTCCTCCCAAATGAACCACTTCCCCGAAATGGGTAATTACAGATTATGGTCTGGAAGGTTCAGAAATTTTAAGTTTATATGCAGCTTTATAATAGAAGCTTGTGGATTTTTAAGAGCTGTTTGGGTTTCATCATGAAAGGACAATTCCACTGCACACACAGCAAGATTTCCAGGATCTGAAAGCAAATCTTAAAGCCAGCAAATCTATGTACTTTCCATCTGCACTATTTTTAATCTATTACTCTCAATTCCTATTCAAGCCCTTTATGAGTGCCCAGAAAAAAGCATTTTCCAATGTAATCAGTGGAAATTAAAATCAATCCAAATACTGTTTTTAAAATCCTCTTTCCTTCTTTTTTTTGCTAGCATACATTTTTTTCTGCATTAGTTTCTAGTTGAAGGTTAGTTAACTTCTTCTTATATACATATTTATTAAGGAAAGGAATAAAAAGTGGTATGTAAAATAAAATCCTGCAGATCTTTGTGCATTTGCCAGAGGTGTAGGAACGAGGACTTCGTAACCAGTATCGATTACAGCACCACGTCTGCAGTTCTGTTCTAAGTACTGAACTTTATTGCAATTCCATAAATGCTTCTTTACATAAATCACACACAAGGCCTCGGTTTTGGAACTCCATAAAAACAAGTGACAGGTTGCACAAAATGGTTATTACAGACACACACAGTCATCTTAAAGCCAGTGCAGTATAGAACAGTACTAAATCATACCTGTTTGTAAGATTAAATATATATACATTTTTTAAAAAGCCAGAAACATGGAAGTGGGATACATTAGTGATTAAATATAAGAGTATATAGTCTATAGCAGCTTTTTAAAATATTCAACTACTATCTAGTTATCTAGCAGCAACATTGTCTAATGATTGTTAGACAGTTTGTTTCAGTCAGTAGATGTTTTGTTCCAATATTTCATACAGACTGTAGATGTCTCTGATCATCACATTAGCAAGAAAAAATAGTTTCTACTGAAATCTTTACTGACATTTGTAAGAGTAATTACAATACCTCAACTTCACATAATGTGTTAACTGTCACCTTTCGTATTCCAGAGTACAAAATAGGCTGCATACTTCATTAATATTTTTTTCTCCAATGCAGACCATAAGTGGATGGAAATTCCCAGGAGGTCTGTCTAATCCTGGTGAAGACATTGGTAAGTTCAACAATAACAGGTCAGACATCAATGGAACTACAAAGACATTAACACTGAAATACACAGTGACCCACATCACTCCTGTGACTACTCACTGCCTTGAAATAGTGGCCAATGGATTAAGTGACACGATCTTATGACGTGAAGGTTAGGGTGAGATCATATTGAGGGCAGGGAAGCGTTACAACATCTCCATTTTTGCACAGGTTCTCTAAGTACTTAAAGCCAACTTTCATAGGTTTGTTGGGTATGTAGCAGTAAAAGTAAGAAGCACAGAGGACTTAAATAATCAGCAGATAACAAAACGTAAAAACTGAAATCACAAGTCCTCAGCTCACACTGCAATCCAGGGCAGGGGGCTCAGAGACGTCCTGGGCAAAAATCTAAAATTTCCAGCTTTCAATATTTGTGTGCAAAACAGCAATAAATACACGTGCTTCCTTCCACCCTCATCCACTGATTTGCTTACACTAACAGCTCTTGGCACAGGACCGGCGTAAATGCAGTTCCTGATGTTTGGGGCCACCTACTTTGAGGTGACATAAGGCACTTCTGCATTAAGAAACAATGCTGTTTTGAGGACAGCTATTTCTACCTAGCATAGCACAAGTGATGCTCAACACAGCTGCTGCACTTACATTCAAAGGTGAATGAACAAGGATGTGTACGAAGAGATAGAAGATTGTGCTTTTGTCCTTGTATTTCACCTCCTGAAACTACAATCCACAGACTGGTTAATTCTTAAATTATACTGCAGTTATTAGGTAGGTCTTAGTTTCAAAAGCTAAACTCACAGTTATTTAGCCCACATCTGTCTTCAGATAGGAATATATTCTTCTAATAAGTGAAGTTTGACAAAAACGCTGCCCAGAGCAATGCAGAAGCTCTACAAACAGTACTGATACCTTAAAATCTGTTTCATACCTTATCTTAGCAGTGATCCTATAGCAATGTGTGGAAAGCTTCTATTCCAATTCATTATTTCAACACACGGAGAAAGTTGACTTGTAGTTTTTGCAACTCTGGAATCACATTTCAACTGCATTGTCAAACAGTGATAGAAATCAAAATTCTTTGTTCAACACTGCAATTACGTTCAGCACAATGGAATGGCTTCATGCTTTTTAAAGAACCCCCAACACTGTTTGTTGCCTAGCCAGACACTCTTGCCCTTAGAGTAAGAGGATCTGAGCCAAGAGATACCAGAGGAGCTTTTGTAGTGAGGGAAAAGAATAACTAGAATGAGAGACTGCTTCACTAGGGCAATTCTGAGTACCAGCAGCCATCCCTCAAGTAACAGGTGAGATTATGGATGGAGCCTGGATGTAAATAGTAAGGACCAGGAAGAAACAAATCACTCAGAGCTCCCCTCCTACCTCTGCTTAACAATATCATAATAAATGCTATGGTTCTGTGCATCACATTTCAATATTACCAAAGAGATAAATTAGTAATGAATAAAATAAAAAAAATTTTTACTTTTTCCATCACTTATATGAAATCTTATAAACTCACCCAAGAGTCCAAATTTTAAGCGGTGTTACAACGCTTGAAAATCCTGTGATTATTGAAGCAACAAAATACATTACTGCTAACTTTAATGAGAACAAATTGATTTGCACAAGTAATCTGAATAGCTTCATAATGGAGATTATGCAAATAGAATAATCTGTGTGCTTCGCTTATTTCTGAGATTCAAGCCCTACTGTTTCTTCTAGTTTAAGTGTCATATTTAAAATACATACATTAAAACAGAAAAAGAAAATGGCACTTGATCTAAAAGAAAAGCTCAAAGCTTAAATGAAATCTCTGTTCAGTTTTTCTCACCATAGCCTGCCTTGGCATTCTGCCCAATCTCAGTTGTTTACCTTCTTTGACCATTTCTGTGCAATGCATCCTTATAATAAAAATCACTTGCCCTAGGGAGTTTGCTTTGCAACACTTTTAAACCAGAGGACTGCAAGGGCCACCCTGGGCTGTGTACAGTGCAGTCTCCCTAGGCATTAGTAATGGCACATGAGCATCTTTCCCTATAGCCAGTTGCCTTGTAATTAAAACTGCAGTGAAAGTTACAAACACAAATGTTCTGCAGGCACTAGGTATTAATGGGCTTCCAATCCCCCAAAGGCCTCTATATATTTGATGTTAAACTTATGCAGAACATTCTACTGCAAGATAGAAGACAAATTTCAAAACTACACCCTGGAGACAGTATTACGGAAAGTTTCTTTCATCTTTTTGTAGCATATGCAAAAGAAAGGTAGTTTGCAATTAGTTTTGTTCAGGGACCAAAAAGTTAGCTTGTCCTTGTGTAGAAAGGCAAACAAGCTCTGCATTTTGAAAAGCTTGCTAAGCAGAAGAGAAGATGTTTATTCTGGGATCAAAAGGTTTAAAGAGTGTATGTTCTTATATATATTCAAAGAATTGCTCTCTTTGCCTAGGAGACACGGCAGTTCGAGAGGTTTTTGAAGAGACTGGCATCAAGTCAGAGTTCAAGTCCATCCTAAGCATAAGACAGCAACACAAACACCCTGGAGCCTTTGGGAAGTCAGACATGTACATCATCTGTCGCCTGCAGCCCTCCTCCTTCACCATCAACTTCTGCCAGCAGGAATGCTTGCGGTGTGAGTGGATGGACCTGGACGAGCTTGCCAGGACAAAACATGCTACTCCCATCACGAGCAACGTAGCTAAGCTGTTACTTTATGGATACCGGGAAGGGTTTGATAAAATTGATATAAGCATGAGAGAGTTTCCAGCTGTTTACACAGGCCGCTTCTACAAACTATACCACAGGGAGCTGCCTGAATCCTACAGAAACATTACATGATAGCAACAAATTTCACATAATTATATTAATAATTTAAAATTTTTATTCAGAGTTACTTAGACCATATTGAAATTATTTGTGGACTTATTTTTGAGAAGAAAAAAAAATCAGTATTTATTCTCTAATAAGCTACAGATATATAAATTATTTTAAATGGCAAGTTTTCCTGTTAGCGTGCATCAGTTAGTTTCCCTTTACTCTGTAAAGTGAATATAAAGTAAATAAAATAGCTCTATAGAAATCTCTAGCAGAAAATAGAGGTGTTACTGATCCTGAAAATAGATTCTCTACATAATTTTACCTCCACACACACTGGCACAATAGGTTTACAGAGCAGTATGAAGACAGGAAGAAACATTCATGTTTTAACCTTTCTGCAAAAGTAGCTGATATCAGCAAACAACAGCTTCTATTTTTACTAGTTTGGTGAGGAGCAAGAAACTCTGCCTCTTAAAGTGTAGTGTGGCATACGTTCAGAACCCACCCTGCAAATCAGCTTTTAGCAGACATTGGAAGAAAAAGGATAGCTTTCTGTCCAGGTCCAGTTTTTGGTCCGGGTTTGTACTGTCCAGTTCTTTTCAGTGCCACATACCAATCAGAGTACTTCCGTGACCGGTAAGTGTTATAGTTATTAGATTCCAAACGCTCAAAAAAGAAACATTCTTCTGTTGCACATTTCTGAAAGAGAAAAAGAAAGGGATTATTTGATACTTCATCACAACCCAGCACTTGGTCTGATTTACAGGACTAACTTATGATATTAACTTAGCAGTACATTCAGATTTAAGAAATTTGTATGAAATGTTTCATGCTTAAAGAAAAATACAATAACTGTTAATGTAGTGTTTAAAACACCTACAAAAATAATTTTTAACTATGACTCATTAATTGTCTTTAATAAAGGCAAAGCAGATTCTATCCTGGTTTTGCTTCTTTCTGTCTGAAATATAGTCAGGTGTAAGGAGAGCCATGTCTATCAGCACTGACTGACAGATCCCAACTCCCAGGTTGTGCACATTCATATTCGCAGTATTTTCCTACAGTCACCAGAGAGAAGATGCTCAGCTGCACTAAGCTGCTCAGAAAGTTGAGCCTGCTTTAACCAACAATGCAATGTAGTTCAATCCACACATCTCTGCACTCAGTGGAAACCAACGCTCCCCAAGAGTGACCATGCTGAAGAGAAAGTATCTTAATTTTCTCATGATTCCATTCAGATCAGTGAGATCATTTAAGAAAATTCTTGCAATAGATGATGCTCAATTCACAAGTTTCCTTGGATGCCTATTATGTCCCAGTGGAGAAAAAACCTGGCTAATGGAATTGTGTCTGGTACTTAGAGCTACTGACAGTCAAGAGAAAGCAGGACAGTTTAACTGCAGTTATCCCATAGCATATTCACAACAAGAAAAAAAAAAAAAGATTATCCCTGTCAATCAATAATCTTGTTCCAATAGCATAAATAGCACCAAATTTGCCTGCAGAACCTATACTTTAAACAAGAAAAATACACTCAAATGAAAAGACGGATGAAGTTCAACACTGCAATTAATTTACTGGGGGAGGGAGAGCACCGTTATACACGTTTACCCTGAAAAAGAGTTTGGGATGCCTGGAGGAAGAAGGAAACATGCAAAAACTCGGAGAGAAAACAGGAGATGTAAGGAAATTTCCTATACAAGCAAGCAAATCTTAGCTACAGTCTTCTGGTAATATTCATCAATAGATAAAGTAGCTGTACAATCAATGAATATACAGATGATACAGTATATCCAGGAGTTTGGCTGATGTAATTATCATACTAGAGCAGGAAAGAAGAACACTCATCTTACCCTGGGCTCACGTGGTAAACTCCAGTGGAGTGGATCTCCAGTAGGGATCCTTCCCCCCTGGCAGCCAGCTCTTAAATGGGTCTAGGAGAGGTGCAGCCAGGCTCCACCCCTTCCTGCAGCACAGGTGAATTGCCTTCAGCTGTGCTCCCGTGGCTGACTCACTGCTCATCTCTGCAGGTGATTAATCAGAGGTTCAGGCCGTGACTCAGCAGCCCCATACACTAGCCAAACTATTTCAGACTAAAAAAAAAAAAAGTGAGCTTGAAAGAACCAGACTTCACAGAGAACGCACAGAAACACACGAGTTCATTCCTTACATATGCCCAGTTTCTGCAGCTACAAGCAATTAAGTCATTCAAATGCAGACTATAATAAAGTAATCCATCTCCAAACATACGTCTTCAAGTTTTGGCAATAAAAAAAAAATACAGCTCCTCCACTTCAGCCATTTTCAGAGAGGAGTTTTGGTTTCTAAGGAAAAGAACTTAGGAAAAAAAAACCACCCATAATTAATCTATCATTTTTATAAATGACTAATGCTTTTATATTTGAAATTGCATTGACCAAATGAATTTTCATATGATTTATATTTTAAATAATCATTCTGAAGAGTGATTATATTGTAATGCCTTTCAGCGTAGCAGTGGGAAAACAGATGCATTAACCAATGATTCAAGTCTGAAATGGATTACAGGCAGCCTTAAGAGGACACAGAAACAACGTAAGAAAGAACAGCGTTTGGGAACAGAACAGAACTTGGAGCCCAGTGTAGGTTAGTGCAGTGCAGCTGCCCAAAGTGGAAACTGAAGCCCTGTGCTGGGCTCAGCCTCAGCTGCCACCAGCATGGGAAACCATCACAGTGAACCAAAGCAGGCACCAACAGTCTGGACACAAGTGAAAGACAACTTGGCACAAAAGCAACACAATCACAGTTCAAAGAAACACACTCCTCCTATTAGGCTTCCTCAAATTTTTCAGGTTTATGAAGAAAAATAGATTAAACTCCCCAAACACATTCATGCAACTTGTGGGTGTGATAAAAATAACCAAAAATAACCAAAAATTGGCAATAGAACATAAAAAAAAAAAAAAAAAAAAAAAGTAAACCTATTCTTTAAGTTGATAAAGATTACTTAGAAAGGTGCCACATGGTTTGCTCTGAATACCGAAGTCCTCATTTTTGCACAAAGCTTAACTGATAAATATTCTTGTGCCACAATTCTAATCCCTGAGACCGAAGGGAAAAAATGTCCCTTCAGTCTAGCAGAGCCAGCCTGACCACAGCTAATCCACATCAACGTGATGGGCTGTACACTACTGGCAATTTATTTGTTGTGAAATAGGAAAGGCAGTCAAAAACAGTCGTTCCTTTCACAGGAAATAGAGACATTTCTTCATAAAATGAAATAATCAGAAACATTTGATTCCATGAAGTGAAAATACTTAATCAGCGTAATTAAATGAAACTAGAAAGTCAAAATAAAACACAGTAGCCATATTATAAGTGAAATGTTTTGATTCTGCCATTCAAAATCTGATGGAGTTCTGAAAAAATATTTCTGAGAAAATATTCTTGGTTAAAAAAGCATTTTCAAGGAAGGCTTTAGATTAGCTGTATCAATCACCAGCCATCTCCTCCACCGACCAGACCAGTAAACACCACCACTCTCCCACAGCAATAGAAATCTGTTGGCAGAGGGCACACAGAGCTTAATGAAAAGCCACATCTAGATTTCAAGACAGGAATGCAGCCCACCACGCAAAGCATCACTGTAAGTATTAAGATACTGGCTAAGCAAAAAGCCATTTTGCAAAAATCAAACTAGGCACAAACCACAAAGACACAAAGAACCCAACTGGAAGAAAAGCGGGGCTGAATGAAGATTTTCAAATGGATTTATGAAGCTGATAATATGTTTATTAAACATTAGAAATCGATACTTGATAGTAATGAGAAAGAAGAAAGAAGACAGACATTAAGAAGTGTTTACATAAGACTAGTACGCCTACCCAATGTCATAAGGGGCTATAAGCCTTAAAATGTTTGTTTCACATAGCAGAAACCTGGCTCACACAACAAAGCAAGACGCAAGCACAGATAGGAGAGCCTGCAATTACAGAAGAGCCAAACATACCCAGGACAAAGAATAAACTATGTAAAGTGATGTTCAACTTAGCGTGCATCTGTGCAATACCAAAGAGATCCTTAATTGTGGTATCTCAAAAAAACAAGTCCTGAAAGATGGGCATGCTCTTAGCTGTTGAATCACTTGGCAACATACTATATGTGCCTATGAACAAAACTGAACAGGGAAGGAACAGGGGCCTAGGCTGGTTTACTGATGACTAAGAAGGTGATCAGACAAGGAAAAAATAAAATAAATAAATAAATAAATAAAAAGAAAAATTGAGAAAATAACCAGCAGTTTCACCACAGGAATTTGTGAAGGCCTCATAATGTTTAGGGGTTTAATGTTCTTCCTGGGAATAAATCTATCTTTCAAATTCTGTCATAATTGGAAAGTATGCTGTTAAAAACTAGTGATGGAAAAACACAGAATACTGGAATAAAGAATTAAACAGCTGCTTAGAAATTAAAGCTCAGCAGTATTTTTAAAGGAATACCCAAAGATCTCAGCAGATACAAATTCACATGCACTGATGAGATCACTTCAGCACAAAAATTTCCAGAACGCGCTCTTACAATGCTCCTGCTGAAACAACCCTCCTCAAACTGAAGAAACGCTGGCAATTATGCACAATTCCACGGACGCGTTTATAGGCAGAAAAGATCAGAGGCACAACTGACAACTAACTCACAGAAATCCTCCTGGAAAACACAGCTTGTGCCTCAGAGAACAATTGCAGAACTGCAGAAATAGTCATTAGATGTGAAACATGGGCTGGATGAAGAACAAAACCTTCTTAGAGCAAGGAGTTTTCTCCTATGAATAGCAAATCTGAAGGGTTGCAGGAAGCAGTGTTTGCAGCAAACATGATTCAAGTAAAAGCCATTTCCAAAACCGCTGTGCATAGCTGCAACAGAGGCACATCCTACAAAGGACACAGTCAAGATCCACTGTGCAACAGGAGGCTGGAAATGCCAAATACAAACACAGCCAACTGTTCGTAATTTTACAACTGATGCCAAACGTTTACTTTGACCATTCACTGCTGCTTAGGCTAAGGAGGGTAATTTGAACAGGAAGCAGAATGCCAGCACACCAGTACCACAGGAAATTCCCAATTATCCTTAATACAAGAATAGCACAGTAGACTACTATTCACATTTTCTTCAACTGATCTGTCAAAACATCCAAGTAAATAACACTGTAACTTGAAATGGGTTATTTAATTATATTCCCAGGCATAAACAGAACCTGTTTGGAGAAGCAAGAGATGGTGCACTATGTGGTTGAGAAGCACACCAGGGCTCCCTGCACACACAAAGCTGTTGAAATATTCCGTTTGCCTTTGGACTAATTTCACTGAGACTAATTTCACTTTCGCTTAGTGACTTCTGTAGCCCTTCTCATGGGCCTTTCACTAGCTGCAGTTCAGCTGGGGTTAGGAATTCACTTTATTATTAATACCTGTTCCCAGTGTTGTTAGCTGGGACACAGAATCCAAATGTGACTATTTTCAGGATACCAAAAGCATCACAGCTAGTTTAAAACTAAAACTCCAGTGGGATGCTCCACAACGGTATTTCATTGGACACTACATTTAAAGATTGTTCGAATTCAAAGTTATGAACATGGACAAAAGATTTTTTTTTTCTTGCACAGGCTGCCCAGAGATTTATGAAAGCTCCACCCCTGGAGGTGCTCAAGGCCAGGCTGGATGGGGTCCTGGGCAGCCTGAGCTGGTGGCAGGCAGCCAGCCCGCAGCAGGGGGTTGGGACTAGATGGACTTTGAGGTCCTGTGCAACCCAAGCCATTCTGTGATTCTACAATTTACAGCCTCTATTTAAGATTTAGGCCTTGGAGATCTTATTACCTTTCAGATTCTGCTAAGCAGATTGGCTTCAAAACACAGTTAAAAATTAATGCTATGGTAATAAAAAAAGAACAGAGTTTAAATTAA